TCCAACCCTGTCCTCCTATAAGTACATGTCCCTGTCTTGGTGCAACTTGGATTATATGTCGTCTACATTCCTGCCTATCTCTAGTGTCTGTACAGATTGTCATTGGCGCTTCAACAAGTTGTCGCTTGAGTGATTTTTTTCTCTTATAAAATCCCCCTCAAACAAAACTAACAAGTTCTGTATGTACTGATCTTTTCTATTCCAGCTTCTTGAGGCCTTGGAATCATTCGTTGTAGTTGAAAGAGAGGGTCAAATCATAGCCTGTGCTGCTCTCTTCCCCTTCTTGAAAGAAAATTGTGCTGAGGTTGCTTCTATTGCTGTTTCTCCTGAATGTCGTGGCCAAGGGCAGGGAGACAAATTACTCGGTATGTATAAGAATAATATATTAATTCTAAGGGATAGGGCAAGGATCTTTTGACCCAAGCCAATTTTGACCTTAAATGACCTTGGGATATTGGTGCACCCACGGTGCTCCGTTGGTAAAATTGATGGTTCCTAACCCCCCAACCCCCCTTGCCCACCCCAGCACCCCACCCTAGATTCCATTTGGCAGTGCCAAATTGGCGATCTAGGGTGGGGGGGGGGGGTGCTGGGGGGCAGGGGGGTTAGGGGGTGGTAAGAACCATCAGTTTTACCAACAGAGCACCGTAGAGGCCGCGGGTCATAATATGACCTTGAAAATAAAGGTCAAAAGAACTGTTGTGTACTTCTAATTGTTACTAAGAGAATGGTCTGCCACTGTATATGCACTGCAACATCTGACTGACTCCGGGTGTGTGTGCAGATTACATTGAAAAGAAGGCATCTTCTCTTGGGATACAAATGCTTTTTCTCCTCACAACTCGCACAGCAGACTGGTATGTGTTCAACTAAACAAGAATTGTTTCTTTATCTACTTGTATCATGGTCCAAAACTCAACTGCACTGTTTTTATTGTTGTTGTTGTTGATAGGTTTGTAAGGCGTGGCTTTTCGGAATGTTCCGTTGATCAGATACCAGTGGAGAGAAGGAAAAGAATCAATCTCTCGCGCGGGTCAAAATATTACATGAAGAGACTGCAGCCTGATAGAAGTGGCATTATTCGCTTTGGTACAGCATCATCATCTGCATGAGAAGACCAGAGTGCGCAATTATATGCTGCTCGTAGCAGCATCGTGTAAAATGCTAAATAAAGCTATGCCAAACCAATGTGTGCCAGCAAAAGCGTAGCAGTCCTCGAGTTATCTTCAAAACGAGTATTTTAATTGTTACAGCGTCTTAAATATCTGTATATATTTGTTATTGTTTTTCTGAACCGATGGTATGATGTATTTGAAATGACTCTTTTAACTTGTTATTCTTACTTTATAGGAGTTAAGTTTTTGGGAATAAATGTAGCAATGCAATGGTTTAACACAAACGAGCTTTGTTATTTTTTTTACGGAGCTAAGGTTGGGTACTTCCTCACCTTTAAATCCCAATAGAGTAATGTGCTATAGTGCAGATGTAGAATAGCACGTCATGTCATGTTGCTCTCCTCTTTCTTTTTTCATATGAGGACTTCACAGAAATTGTTTACTTCTAAGTCCTTCTAGCAGAAAGACTTTGATGGTTAGTATGGATGTTAGCCCACGTATTAGGGTTGTCCAGTATGTTGAGCCAGTTTGGGCCTATCTGCTAAGTGATTCGTGGGCTTTTGCGCCTTAAGTATTCGTCTCTAAATAGGCCTACTTGGGTGCATGGGGGAGGGGATTCAGGTTGATTCCTTTAGATTGGCAATACAAAATCAATGATCTTTTTCGAGTTTGCGACTGCTAGGGTTCTACGTATCTAAGCACAAATCGTTCTCCATCTCATTTGCTTCACATGAACAAGGTTGCCACTTGCCATCTCGGACCTTACTCTAGAACAAACACCTTAGACTTGTTGCTCGTGTATCGGCATTCACACTTGGACTTGCATACAAAAATCTTAAAATGAAGTATCTCAAGTCGAAGGCCTAGAAGTCCCACCAAAAGGAAGCCAAGGCACTTCACTGAAGTTGGAACAACCAAAGCTTTTGTATATTTCATGATAGTGAACAATCTTTAACTCTTTCTGTCCTGATTTAAATCACTTATTTCAGTTGTGTTTGACTAAAGTTATTTTTTAATATAATTTATATGAGAATTGTAGCAAAATATAAAAAATAAAATTTATATATTTATAAAATTTATATATTTACGGAAATAGAGAAAGAAAGTGAGCGAAGTTTGACCTTGTTAATAGTGAACAAACTATTTAATTTGAGAGAGAGGGAGAGAGAGTACACGTTTAATGCGGGTTGATGTATAGGAGCATCAATATCTACTTGTAAACTCTCCAGTTTTGTTCATATTGTTAGATGATTGTTTTTGCAAGCCATGCATTGAATTCTCTTGATGCACTCGTTTTTTTGAATTTTGACCAATAGCTCGTGGTCTAACATGGTCAAGGTTCATATGCCATTTGGTACGGAGTAATAAGCATTTATACAGAGTATATTTTTTTCTATTAAATATTGTTGAAAATTCAATATCTGAATTAATGATGATCGGAGTGAAGAATTACCTAGATATGGATCTTTCTCAAAAAGACATACATGATGGTACTCAATGGGTTTTATTAAGGGATCCCACAGAATTAGAGTGTTGATGTGTTTGAAACGACCCCTCTCCAAGAAGATTTGTTGAGTTTTGGTTTTTTTTGTAATCAAAATTGATAAATTTCTATTAATTAAGCAAAACAAATCAGAGAATAAAAAAAATTGTCGTGCCGTGGAAAATACCACTGCAATAGAAACGATTTTTTCTTCAATGTGGGCGTATCTATACAAGGTGTCGTCCCCCAAAACTAACATAGAGTCGTCCTCTGTGCGCACCCGCAGAAGGCGGAAGGAAATCATACAAATAATATGCTCAGTGTAGTGAAGGAAAGTTGTGTTAGTTCTTGTTTGATTCACTGTTGTTGTATACTTGTTGTGTTGGCATTACCCTTTGTGACAAAACTAATACTCCGTAGTAAGTTGGTTATTATTGTTCGTTTTAGTCCTTGTTGGGGTTGTAGCGTCCTGCCTGTCATTAAATGTTCTCACATAGAAAAGGACACTATGTGATTATGAGTCTGTGGCTGCTATAGTACCATGCCGAAGAAAGAGAGCATCCGTGACATCTGAGCTCATTCAGTTATGCTAGGACTCATGTTCGAACTTATCAAGTCCTATGAGGAATCCACTAGGGTTTGCACGTCTCTTCATATATACACATCCATGCAAGCTCCGAGGTGAGACATATAGTTTGAGTGAACGAGAGTGCATCATAAAATACTGTGAGAATCAAGGAAGCATGGCGCATGGCTCATTTCATTTATTCAGATGAGGTTGTGTACATGAATTTGTTTAGTAATCGTCGCTGGAAGTCTCGCCAGAATTTTCCCAAAACCTCCGTTTAAGCCCGATGTAAGCCCATAAATATATCTAGTTATTAGAATGTTCATATAGATTATTTTTACGTTCATAAACAGTCGTTTGGTTGAGTTTTGTGTTTGACATGTTTGAAGAACTAAAATCATAAACCTTGAAATTATTGTTAAAAATTTGAATTAAAGATACCAAAATGACCTATGAACTTTGGAGAACATATCTATATAGTTTAGTCGAAGTTTGATGGCTAAAAATGAAGTTCTCAAAAATTAACCCGAAGTTGAAGATGACACTGTTCACACTTAGCACAGAAACGGTATCGAGCTACGGCCCAGACGGTAACAAGGTACCGCCTGAACGGTAGGCCATACCTCCGGTAATGGTAGACAGGTACCGTCACAAGCCATATTTCTTTGGTTGTACCTAACACCGGCGGTAGTACCCCATACCGTCTGGGACGCTACTGAGGTACCGTGTATCGATACCGAGGTACCGTAACAGGAACCGTCTGATCCAGAAACTTTTCCACAAACCCAATTTTTGAACTATAAAATCCTATTTTTGATACCATTGAACTATTAATCAATACAAATTTGATTTCAAAATTAAATATGATGTATGACGGTTAGCTAGAGTGTTAACACTCGATTCTTGGCCGCAGTTTGTTATGAAATATTATGATGTTGTTATTAAATATTGAACCATTATTAAAAGCATAAATATCCTGATTAAATCATGAAAATGATGTTAAATATTAATGTTATCTAGAAGAATTCTAAGATAGGCCCATGTGACTCAACTAGTTAGGCCTTGCGGGTATGATGTCTGGTGGCCATAAACGTGCGTATGGGATCTACAAACAAAACTTCAGTCTCTTGTCTTAACCTCCGTTCAACCACTCTTTCCCATAACTCCATCTTATGAATCATAAGTTTGATCCCTATGTAGTTTCAACAAGTCTGAGTATCTCCTTTATTCTTGTAAATAGGAACCAGGATGCTCTTCCTCCATTCGATATGCATCTTCTTAGATCTTGAAATCTCGTTAAAAAGCTTAGTTAGCTATCAAATACATTTTCCTCCTAAACCTTTCCAAACTTCAATCAAAATGTTGTCTGGGCCCACTACTATGCTATTCTTCATTTGTTTTAGAACTTCCTTAACTTCTATTTTGTGAATTTTTCGATAATAATTGAAGTTTTAGTCCTCCTCTTTCATGTGTAGCCAATCGGAGCATGAGATATTTACATGCTCCTCATTAAACAAATCATTGAAGAGGCTCTTCCACCCGTCGTTTATGCTTTGATCGGAGACTAAAACTTCACCATTCTTATATTTAATACACTTAACTTGAATTGGTCAAAATCCCACATCTTTCTTTCTCGACCCTTTGCGATCTTGTAAAAACATCTTTCCCCTTCTTTTGTACCCAAAGACTAGTAAAACCGCTTTACCTCTACCTTTTCTTGCACAATAGTGTCCCACCACCATGATTCTTTGTCTCTTGCTTTAGTACCTTTAGTTTCCCCAATGATTTCTTTTGCCACCTTTCTAATAATATATGCCATATCAAACCATAACTCTACCGGAATTCCATTTCATTGAATAAGGAAGAGTAATTCTTTTTTTCAATAATAAAGTTATTCTCGTAACAGTCGTACCCAACCGTACTCTTTAGATAATCATCGTGATTTCATTCCCCTTGTCACTATCCCTACTGTTTGGGCTCTGGATGGAGAGGATCATCACCGTCGTAGGGCGGCGGCAGCCGCACGAGAGGGGAAGGCGTCTGGAGGTCCCCATGCGCGAACCCGAAATTCCTAAGGACTTGATTGTCCGCAAAATTGATCGCCCTTTCCATCCCGACCAAGCAAGAATCCCCGCCGTATTCGGGGTTGTGGTCCCCGCTGCACGGCTGACACCCCGCGAAGTGCGTCACGAAGGGCCGCCTCCACCCGCCCCTCCCATCCCCGCCCTCCGCCACGTGCGCCTCCCACGCCGCCGCGTACCTCTCGCTCTCGGCCTCCGCGTGCCTCCGCCGCAGCCGCCGCTCCCTCCTCCCGATCTCAGCGTACTTCTCCGTCACGTTCTCCAGCCTCCCCACCACCCCGACCCAGTACCCGTGCAGGGAGTACTCGTTCTCCACGTAAATCCTGGCCGTCCAATTCTTCCCCGCCGTCAGCAAGAGGTACACCAGCGCCGACTGATCGTCCGATTCCGGGAACATCTTGTCCGTCAGCGTCGACCTCTGGATCTGGCCCCACCTTTGGAACTCCGGAGTCTGTGGGCCCATCGAGGCCCATAGATCCAAAAACCCCATTGACCACTGGCAGTTTCTAATCAGGAAAATCCCGGCGTTGACCGAGACCCAGCTCTTCTTCTTCTTCACCATCTCCGGCCAACCGTGGACTACCAGGTTATGGTCTCTGTACTTATCCAGAGGAATCTTGAAATCCATGTCCGTGAAGATGGCGTCGGAGTCGATCCACAGGACCCACTCTGTTTCCGGATGGGCCACCATCGCGGCCCGGACCAAAGGTATCTTGGCCCAAAAAGAACGCATTTCCGGCTCCAAGAAGGCATTGCTGTAGAACACTTCGTAGCCGTGGATTCTGCAGTAGTCCACCTTATTCTTGAAGAGCCGGAGGAGGAGGTGATCGCCGACGGGGCTCTTGCAAGGGCCGGGCTGCGATCCGGTGAGGACGAGGATACGGTTCCTCACCCCGTGTGCGAGGGAGGGGTGGAGCTTGAGCCACTCGATCCTCTTCCTGTCCCAGTCAGCGATGGGTCTGTCTATGGTGTAACTGAGCTCTGGGTCGTCGTAGAAAGTCTTCTCCGGCGAGTCGTAGCTGCTATCGCCGGCGGGGAATCTTTGCTCGGACACCAACGTGGAGAAAGGCTTGGTGGCGAACCAAATGACAACAGCAACAAGGCCAGCGGCGATGAGAGCTTGAAAGAGCGATTGGCTGCGATAGATGGCGGTGGGAGCCATCATTTCTGAATTCTGAAATAAGAAGCCCGAGCCCAAAGAAAGGCATCTCAATGCTCTGCTTTTATATACATACCTCCTACAACTTTATTCACAATTATTACTCCCTCCTTCACTAATTGGATGCCATTATCATTATTATAGTTTTTCGATAATTTTTATTTATTTGTATATTTTTATTAAGAATTTGATAAAGTAAAATATTTTATCACATCTTCTTTTATAGAGTTTTTTATGTACTTTTAAATAGTACTCTCTCCGTCCCCCTAAGATGTTCTTATTTTGACTTTTGGTGGTTTTTAAGTTGAGTTAAAAAAAGGTGAAAGTTTACCATAATACCTTTAATGAAAAATTGGTGGAGTGTACTAAATGAGGTGGGTGAGGTGTAATAAATAAAGTAAGTGGGGGTAGTTGTGGTATTTTAATTGTTAAAAAATGAAATGAGAAGATCTATTGTGGACAAAGAAAAAGGGCTATTGGGAAGATCTATGGGGGACGGAGGGAGTATAATTTATATTTTTTATATAAATATTACTTGGTCCGTCCCTGAGTGTTTGTCCACTTTTGACTTTTAGAACTGTTCATCTAAGCACTTTGACTTATCAAATTCTCTCAATGTGTAAGCCTAAAAATAGTCATGTGTGATCTTGTTTGATTCGTCTTAACATATAGATTATTAATATATAATTTTTATAATTTTTTAATATACAAATTACAAGATAAAATGGATTAAAGAAGTGCATTAGATGGTGTGCAAAAATGAAAGTGGACAAAGACTCAGAGACGGAGGCAGTAATTCGTAATTAAAATGAAGTATTATTTACATATATATATATATATATACATACATACATACATACATACATACATACATACATACATACATACATATATATATATATACACACACATACATACAGATAGCTCACTAGACATCCGTCCCCCATGTCTAGTGTTACCTCTGAACACTAGACATCGGACAGCTCACTAGACTCCCTTCCTCCTTAGAGGGCGGAGGAACTCTAGACAGTGGACCGCGGACATCTCACTGGACTCTCTTGCTCCTTAGAGGACGGAGGAACTTTGGACAGTGGACCACGGAATCTCACTGGACTCCCTTGCTCCTTAGAGGACGGAGGAACTCTGGATATTGGATTAAGGTGTGTGTGTGTGAAAAGAAATTACTACCTCAATATTTGTCTAGTTTTATTTTTCCAACTATCAACTAATTGACTTTTGCTTATAGTTAAATGAATAATGTTACATGTTGATCAGATATTGTAAAAATATATATTTAGTTACAATGATGTAAATTTAGTTAAATTGGTTTCATTTTAGAATATAGTTTTAATATATCAAATTCTTATAATATTGAATTATTTAAAACTATACTTAATTTGTGGTAAATGTACTGTGCAGTTTCATCAAAAACGTCAAACTGTGATAATTTTTTTGGGACAGAGAGAGTATCAATAAGTTTATTTTGGAACATAGTTTGAGGGCAAAGTTTTCTATAGACTTAGGGCGCATGTTCATTTTATGTACCTTAGTACATTTAATTTGTAGCATAAAAAAGTATTCTTTTTACAAAAAAAGGTATCTACATGCAAGTCCATAAAAAATATGAGAAAGCCTACATTTTAAATGTAGACCATGACATCATGTAAGCATCACTTTAGTTTGAAATATTAAATATTTTTATATGCACATATCTAAAAATAAATATATTAGTGATCAAAATTTTACATACTTGTATTGAAGGCTATAAAAAGTCAAATAAAAAAAGTTAAATTTGTACTCCCTCCGTTTGGAAAAACCCTTCCCATTTGATTTGGGGGCAAAAATAAGGAAGTGTTAAATTATAGTTGATTTTCAATTTTGCCCCTGATGTGATGGGTAAAAGTAAGATGTGATGGATAGATTATTAGAGAAAAAGTATGATGTGATAGGTAGGGTATGAAAAAGTAAGGGTAAAAGTGGTTTTTTAATATAAAGGGGAAGTGTTTTGTTGGAAGTGGAAAAAATGAAAAAGGAAATGTTTTTGAGAACGGAGGAAGTACTAAATAGCACTAAAACATATGTCCTTTCGTAATGTAGAACTTAATCTTTTTAATTCCATAAATAGTACTTGAATAATGTCTAGTGGCGAAAACAATGTCGAGTGATAGTGGATACTTAGTTTGAACAATGTGCAGTGACAATGATTAGTGGACATTGAACAGTAGTACTACATTAGAAAATAAAAACATTTGATACTACATAAGAAAAGTGACTATGTTTTAGTACTATTTACATAAATTCCGCTACAAAAATTAAACTAGACGGAGGAAGTTAGGAGTATATAAAAATCTGATTCCACTATCGATAGCCAAAGTTAAAAAATGGCTAAATAAAGTATACACATCATTACACTATAAAAAAAGGAAATTAGATCTTCACGCAAATATGTTTATGCAAGTGGAAAAAACCACAAATTGGTAACTACATTTATGTCCTGCAGTTATAAAAGGAAACTAGGAAAGTATTGATTTAAGTGACAACAAGGGGTGAATTACCTATTTGTGTAATATGATTGCGCCTCGCCCTTCCTTTATCGGTGGGGTTCCCATGACATTAGAACTTCATGTCATGGGATGACTCGAGGGTGCTCCGGTGCCCCGTTTTTAAAATTGACGGTTCCTACCCCCTAATCCCACCGGTTAACGCCCCCACCCCGCCCCGGGCCAAATACACCTGCCACCCTCTTCAATTGCACCCCGCCAAAACATGGCTAGAATAAGATATTTTCAAAGTTATCTTTTTATATTCAAATTACTACTCGAATTGCAGGTTTTGATGAGACGAGTCCAATGTTATATTTCCTGCGTGACTGCCCAAAAGCAAAAAGGTAGTAAGTAAATGAATAAAATACATATAGACTCAAAGTAATATAATCAATATTGGTTTCATTGGGTAGGACTCGTAAAACATGACCAACGACATATTGTTTGTCATATTTTGGATATGCTAAAAAGTTATGAGTAAAATAGACGTTATACTTCAATAAATAGATACTGCGTATAAAGATTTTTATAATATAATACAGAGTTCCCACTATTTTTGTCCACTTTCCCGTTTTAGTACTCTCTCCCAATTTTGATTATCATTTTATTTTCTCTCTCTTCTCGATAGCTTTTATTTATTAGTGTATTTTCATTGATTATTTCATAATTTAAATAAAATATTCTTGTCACCTCTTGTTTTGTAGAACTTTTGGTGTAGTTTTTAAGATATAATTTTTATTCTTATTGATGTACCAATTTGTAAATAGAATGTTTTTAAAAATCGTGGGATTTTACCTCGTAATTATTACTTTGTAATCAAAATGGGGAAGGAAGAGAGTAACATTTAGGATATAATATGACAATTTGAAATTTAGGATCACTATTATTATTATTATTATTATTATTATTATTATTATTATTGTAAATTTTTTATTAGTTTTTAAATAATTTTCTGATCTAAATGGATCTGATTTGAATGGATCCGATATAATTTGATTTGACCTCATCAGAATGAATCTAATCTCATCTGAATGGATCTGATCTGATTTAATCCGATTTAATAAGAATAAACAATAAGTAGCAGAAATAAGTTGAAGAGAACACTACCTATGTTTCCTATTTGGGGAGAAAGTATTGACACACGAAGTATTGGATCTCGAAGGAGGGAGTGCGCTCGAGTAGTAGTCTTAGCCTTGGGTTGCCGTTACTGTTGTTGTTACCACGCCTATCACCGTTTCGTTATGGTCCTCTCTTGTTGATTTGATTAGTTTAGTTTGTCCAATTCGTCTAATCTGATCTTCAGGGTGATTCAAGGTTCATATATCTCTCGCTACGATTGATTCATAGATTAGTATTCGTTAATATATTCTCGTTCAACAGACATTAAATTGGTGAGTATGAATATTGGATTGATTGATTGTGTTGAATATGTTTGTATTGGAACTTATTGGTGATAAAATGTGAATAATGATTTTTGATTGAAGAATAAGCCTCTAAGTAGTATTAGGGCGATCTAAATTGAATTATAAAATTTGAATGACCATTAAGTTAAGATTTATGATTTAGGCCTGGTTGGGCGAGCTTCACATAACTCTCAGGTCTTGGGTTAGAAACGTACGCATGGGAGTCCAGCACCTATCCGGTTGTGCTAGAGAGGGGCTCCAACCTGCCTCAAAAAAGTTCTCTAATGTTTTGAGAATGGCTACACGAAAAGCTTGAATGTCCATGACTCTAGTCTATTGAAAGTGAATGAACCTTAACATGTAGGTTAAGAGTAGTGTATTTATGTGAGGATAGAATCAGACAGTTAATTAATCATACTATTGAATAATGACATTTGTTGATTATTTGAGTATTACATGATTATATATTAACGCATGTTAGTTTTCAAATTAGTTATAGCGTTAGTTATATTCTCAATCAGCTTTTCAGCTGAGCGTTTAGTGTTTGTTTTTTTTACTACACGCAGGTATGAATCAAGGATTAGACAAGAAGCCTGACAATTCATGATGCTCAGTGAAATGGATGACCCAAAGTTTTTCGATTTAAATTATTTATTCTGTGAACTTGTTTCTTTAAATTACAAGAATGTTCAAACGATATATGTTATTTTTAAAAAATGAAATATTTTCTTTTTCTCCATTTATCATTGATTAAAAATGAAATATTTTCAGGTTATTTCATTTTTTTCCCCATAGAACAGGAAAAAAATAGAACATAAAGTTGAAAAAGCAGATGGTGGTCACAACAAAAGAAAAGTAGACCATATGAATTAGGATAAAATAAGATGAGTTGTTATTGGGTTGTCCTACGGTCCACATGTGAAATGTGGACCTTTTTGCACTTCTCATAGGCCGATAGGTGGTGATATTTTTTTTTTGGCAAAATTCATAATTCTTTTGTGATATCAATACACTAAGGTCCTTAGAATAAACATTGACCTTAAGACTAGAGAAGAATTTGTCAAATAAGGAATCTTAAGCTTTTAGTTTATTGTGGCAAATTATGTTTTAAGAAATAATCTAAAATAAGAGTAAAACATAGACAAAGTAACAAAATATGAGACTCGTGCTTTTGTTCTCAAAATTATAGTTTGCACCATTTATTGGCAATCCGGCCACAGTGTTTTTGGTATTATATGTTGACATTATTGACATTGTAACTCTTATTTGGAAATAAAAATATAAAACTCCTATTTTGGTATTTTCTTTTATTTTACTCATACTTTAGTGTTTTTCTCATATTTTTTTAGAATATTATTCCCTTTGTCCTAAAATTATGTTTTCAGTTACTATTCACACACTTAAACTTTATTCAGTTTCTTTGATTATTTTCATTAATTATTTGTTAAAATAGTTTTTTTTTTTGAAATTTATACTTATGATCAAATAAAAATTACTCCCTCCGTCCTAATTTTTTCTTCCCAGTTTGACATTTCCCCATTTTTAATTTTTGGCTTTGACTTCAAATTTACCTCCTTAAAAAAGATTTTTTGAATTTTTTTTGCAATCATTCAAAATATAGAGTTAGAAGATAATTAGTGTAAATACATGAGGGTATTAATATCATTTGTCATCTTTTTTTTCTAATGGGAAGATAGTTTTAGGACGGGAAAAAGGGGAAAGTGGGAAGAACGTTTTAGGACGGAGGAAGTACTAATTTTTACGATAAAACTCAGTAGATATCAATGTTGAAAAGTATCTCTACAAAAATCAAGGACTTTAGTTATTTTAAAAGGGGGCGGTTCCCATGACATTGATTATCAATATTACAAGATGACTAGAAAGTCCTACCGTAACATGTTCGTAAAATTCACAATTCTACCCCTCCTAATCCTCCCGGCAGACCCCCATCTGCCCGGACACGAACCCACCCCACCAAACATGAAGACTTATTAATTTTTACGAGAAAACTCGCATCACTTCAAAGCTGGTCCCTGGGTTTTTGGAATTATAAATTAGAATAAATTTCATAATTGGTCATTTATAAATTGGAATTTCCCTATTTAGTCCTCTATTATTAAATATTACCCCCGTAATCCTTTTTTATAGGTATTTTTCCACAAATATATCTTTTTTATCTTTTATCACCTAAGTGTTAATTTGAATGCTAAAAGTATAATTGCATAATCATAATATATCTTTCTTGTCATACACAATTTCAAAGGCTGCTCGTAATGCGTCGATTGTGAATTACAGTCACTTTCTACTAAAACCATAGACTACAAATGTGTTCTTTCGTCAGAATCGTAGCCCACAATTATAATCATTATTTTTATGTTATCCGTCTAACAAATATCAAAATACGTCACTGGACATATGATTGACGTCAAATTATACTTTTACCCTTTAAATTAAAAATCAATATGGCAGAAGATAAAAAAGGATTATTTATAGAAAATTACTCATAAAAGAAGGAATACATGAGTAATATTTGATAATACAACACTATTTATAGAAAATTACTCATAAATTTGGAATCTTATTTGTTATAAAAGACCAATTAAAAAATTTAGTCTATAATTTATAATCCAAATAAAATAGGTGATGCTTTTTAGAAAGTCAAAATATTCCCGTATCTCCTAAATTTGGGCTCAAAGTATGACATAAGTCCAGTTCTAGTTCAGGGAAACGTGGCTAAAATTGGGGAAAAAATACAGACAAATTTCTAACGTGGTAGATTCACGATCAATCTTGAACAAAATAAAGTTGAAAACTTTATCCCTCATAATTGAAATTGTAGGTCTCTTTGTTGACTATATTACGGATAAATTTACAACCGATGGGAAACTGTCGGAGAAATAACCCGGACCCCAAGAAAGCAAAACAGGAATAGAAATGACCCTAAAAAGACTAAAACATAGAGAAAAGTACCAAAATAGGACTTTCATGTTTTTTTTCGAAATAGAACTTTACATTGTAGTAATAGAAATCATCCTAAATAGGACTAAAACATTAATAAAAATACCAAAATAAGACTTTCATGTTTTTTTTCTCGGGATAGGATTTTGCACTGTGGTAATGTGACCTTGCATTGTGGTAATGTAGCAGTGTACATGTGCAAATTACTATGTTTTTTTGGTAATGTATATGACCATGGTTCGTAATGTAAGTCCTATTTCGAGAATAAAAACATGAAGTCCTATTTTGGTATATATTCAAAGTTTTAGTCCTACTTTGGTCTTTCTCCCTAGTAGTAATTTAACTTTGCACTGTGGTAATGTGACAGTGTACATGCACATATTACTATACTTTTTCAGTAATGTATATGACCGTGTTTGGTAATGTAACTCCTATTTCGAGAATAAAAACATGGAAGTCCTATTTTGGTATAATTTTGATGTTTTAGTCCTACTTTGGTCTTTCTCCCAAAAGGGGAGAATAGACCAATTTGGAAAAGTGAAATTTGCACTAAATAGGACTAAAAATAATGACTTTTCTAATGTAGGACTTAAACTTTTTTATTCCCAAAATAGGACTTAATAATGACCTAATATGAGGAATAATATCCAGTAATGATAGATATTTAGTTGAATAATGACTACTTGATAATGACCAAAGGTCCTACATTGAGAAATAAAAACATATGGTCTTATATTGGGAAAGTCATTATGTTTTAGTCCTATTTAGGTAAATTTCTCGTGGAGAAAGGCGAGAGGCTGGGCAGGGAAGCTTGTGTGAGCGAGGGAGAGAATTGAGCCAAGGAGGGGAGAATAAAAATGGAGGGTTTTGGGAAGAGAAGGAGGGAAGAGGTGATACTTAATATTATTATAGATACCAAGCCTAAGGCTTAAGAAGCCATATTAATAGATAGACGATAGTTTGCCAAACCCTAAGATCTAATTATCTAACCTGTCGGTTTAAAAAAACATCGAGGTATGAACCGAAAAGAAAGCCTCAAAAAAGTTTATAGTTATGCTTACCTACAAAAATCTAATTACAATACTTAAAATATGATATTAAGAATTATTGGGCTTCATAATCTTTACGCCATGCCGGCGATCTTCGTTCCCGAGTGCTTGCCTGAGACCCTCATTAGTGTGTTCCATTCTGACCTCGTCGTCTTGCGTTAGGTCTTCAACAAGTTCCTCTTGCGATACCCCAACCTCATTGGTCGTAACACATTGAATCTTCTAATGATTCGTGTCTTGGATCGTAGGCAAATTAAAGAACCTTTCTTTGATATCATTATATTTATATTGAACCTTGAGACTAACTTGTCTATAAATGTATTTTAGTTCCGACCTAGAAATTTTAATGATCTATCTCTAAAGATTTTGATACCTAGCATGTAATTGGCTTCTACCAAGTCTTTCATACAAAAACTCACTAAACCTTCGCAGTAACTTGCAGAAATAAAATGACTTTATATGCACTACAAGAAAAATAGATACATAAGTTGTACCGTACCATATAATTTCAAAAAAGGAGCCTGTTGTGGGATCTTAATGATTCAATCTCATTCCCTTGCCCTCTTTGATTCTCTTCATTGCACCTTCAACGGCAATGTCAAACGCGTCCTTAACATTACCCAATCCCTTCTTCGTTCTCGCGTAGACCAATCTCGGGATGGTCTCCACCACTTTCTCCCTCATCTTCCTGATCTTCTCCTTGCTGTAATTCTTCTCCAGGATCCCTCTTATGGACGCCGACCCGTTCCTCACGCCGTCGTGGTGGATGAACACGGAGTAACTCTCCGGATCCTCCGGCAAGAACCACGGGTACTGACCGTACGCCGTCTCCGGCCAGAAAATCACCGGGACCGATCCGGCGATCATGCAGTCGAACATGGACCGCCTCGTCTCGCTGTCCCCTTCCGGCAGCAAGCAGAAATCGGAGTTGAGGAAGGCGTCTTGGACTGCAGCAGGGTGGGCGTCGCACGGCGTCAGAGAGCAATCGACAACCCGGCTGACGTTGTAGTGGTTTTGGGAGTAGCGGAAAAGCAGGGTCCTAAAGTCGCCTTCCCATTTGGGGCGTGGGGGAACCACCAAGGAGAAGAGGTGGGGCCGGTTCCGGTAGAGGACAAATTCCTGCCATTGCCGGAGCTGCGACTCGGTGCCGGGGTGGAATCCGGTGGGGTACGGCACGCCGACGTCGCGGTCGTCCCCCGACGCTCTCTCGATGGTGAAGCGCGTGACCTTCTCCATCCCGGGTATGTTGAGGAAGGCAGATCCCCATTCCTTATCTTCCACCTCCAGACGGCGGAAATCCCATGTGACTCGCCCCAGCGTGAGGAAATGATCTGAGCCGTTAGATTTCTTCCAGTAGGTCTGGTTCTGGACCCACCTGAGCATCGTCGCACACAGCCGGTCGCGTTTCTCGAACCCTTCCACAAACAGATACTTCCCCACCGCGAGTCCGGCGTAGAACGGGATGTAGAACGCCGTTGCCGATTCCGGATCCCTCGTTCGGCACCGGTAGTTCAGAATCCGGCGGTGGTAGATCACGTCCGTCGAGAACTGGTTCGTGTGATGCCACGCCGCCGCGATGTTCACCGGCAAGATCCCGGCGAGCGCCCTCGACTTTTTCCCCAACCCTTCGTTGACGTAAAGCCCGCTCTGCCGATTGTAAGGGTGCCAATCGGAGAAGTTCTCCGGGATCAAGTCCCGGTTAAACATCCGGGGAAGGTCGTACACGTAAACCCTTCCGTACTTACATCCTCCGTCCGCTTCCGCCTTCCGGCTGGTGGGGGTGGCCAGAAAAGAGACCGCCTCCGTCGGATGGACGGCGACGGGGAAGAGTGAATTGCGGGCCAGAAAGATGACAAGGATTTGGATGGAAAGGATGGTGAGTGTGAAGACCCAGAAACGAGGGTGGGCGGAGATTTGGGATTTGGGTTTTAGTGTGGTCTGAAAATCTGATGAAGAATGGGAAAGCATTTTAATGGGGTCCGAAGATTAAAAACAGAGAAAGAAGTAGAAAAAACAGAGGAAGAAGAAGAGAAAAAATGTTACGAGTACAGAGGGTTGGTTTGGGACTTTGGTCATTTGGTTTATGTAACTGTCCAGTAGACACTGTACCAGTCAAGTGTAGGTATTTGTGCAAGTATTGTGTAAATACACCGTATTTATTTACACAATGTTAACTCGTTTTCACAATCTCCTTTCTTTTAGGAAAATTCAACTTGTATCTTATATTTTTATCTCATTTTGTACTTTAAAGCTTTATCGTGACATAAATATAAGTATGAAATTGATATTATGTCCTTGTTATACCTTTATTTTATGTCAGGTTAAAGCTTTGGAATACAAAATGAGGTACAAATTAAGGTGAGGGCAGCTCCTTTCTTTTATGGACTCTTCTCTTCACATTGCTTATTCTCTTCACATTGCTTAGCCGTTTTTCATACTCCCTGGCCATTTCAATTCTTGGTATTTTTACTTTGCCTTGTTCAAAAAGTGATAATAAAATACAGAAACTCTTTCGGTAGCATTTGGAAATTGACATTTTATTTAAATTCATTCATTTCAATTCCACAACTTGAAATTTTGAATTTCAAATGATAATGGGAGAAATACAAATTTACAATTGAACTTTGTAATGAATACTGTAATTTGCCTCATATCTAAATTCAAACTTTTAAGATTTGGTTGATACCATGGTTCTGGAAGAGAGTGCAATTCAAGAAGGTGGAGTAAGTTCGGATCAAGACGAGGTGGGAGGTTTATCAGGGATAGTGGATGTGAACTGTTAATTCTACAAACGAGACACCGTATGACCCTCGGGTTATCCTATGACACTGTGTTACGAAAAATATATAAAGAAAAGGGAACTGAATCCATTTTGATATAATTATTGTTATATTAGGAATAAAATTATGGTATGAATAGCAGTTCACTCATTTGCTTTACCCTCTTCCTATATATAGAAAGGGTTGGACCTTTGTAATCTCTAAAACAATTCAATATACAAAATATTTTCTCCTTCGATTATTTTTTACATGGTATCGGAGTAGAGTTTTTCGTGACCTAAAATTTTCTGTCTTCGCTCCTGGCGGGTGGTGCCGTCCTTAGCTGCCTACCGGGTCATTGTTCTTCCTCCAATCTAAATACTTACCTCCAAACCGTCAGCACCTCAAACCTAAATCTTACCCATATTGAATCAAAAGAATCACCACCATTAATGTAATTCACCTCAAATCTAAATCCAAATTCTTAAGATTTTTTTAATATGAATCTGAGACTCTGAGTCAAATGCAAATTTAAAATCTAAATTTCACTTTGCAAACATGCGAGTAGAAAATAGAGAATTATTAACACCTACATTCTTTCAAAAAAAACCTACATATTCATTATCAATATAAGAAATAAAGTGCCTGCTTCAAGTAAATTACGGAGCTGCTCGATCGTTGTTGTTAGTCGTATCAATATTTCCATCAATAGACGTGAACGAAAACATACCGTTGTATTTTCTTAAATTTTTATTGGAAATAAGAACTCCTCACATCAATTTCATAAAATAAATTATAGAACAAAATCGGAGTTTTCCTTAGAAGAGTTAGTTAAACTTTTCCTTTCATGAAACATTTTGAAAACTCAGGATGTTCTAAATTATTTTTGTTTCCAGTTCTTTCTTCGTACCATAATAAAGCTCCACAAAAATAACACATAAATGTGGGATCCACAAAATTGATTATATCTACAAGAAAAATACTCCCTCCGTCCCGGAGTATTCGTGCAATTTTGACTTTTGGAACTGTTCATCTAAGCACTTTGATTTATCAAATTCTCTCAATGTGTAAGCCTAAATATAGTCATGTGTGATCTTGTGTGATTTGTCTTAACATATAGATTATTAATATATATTTTCTATAATTTTTTAATATACAAATTACAAGATAAAATAGATTAAAGAAGTACATTGGATGGTGTGTAAAAAATGAAAGTGGACAAATACTCTGGGACGAAGGTAGTAAAATATTATATAGCCAGTCTTTATAAATATTTAGCATTTTACACAACTTACATGTTGCATATATAATCTAAAAATTATAGTCACCAATGTTTTTTATTTAGTTATTCCAAAAATCCTAAACTTCTATGCGTTGAGTTATTTATATTTTATTTTTAATGAATTCCTTTATGAATAATACGAATCTATGTTTTTTATTTAGTTATTCCAAAAATCCTAAACTTCTATGCGTTGAGTTATTTATATTTTATTTTTAATGAATTCCTTTATGAATAATACGAATCTTAATAATAATGTACAAAGTATCTTTATTTCACAAAACTAAATCTTTATTAAAAATAAGAATTCCTTTGAATCAAGAAATTAAAATAATTGGCCCAAAAATATGTTTTTCTTCGCTGAAATACTTCCTTTCTTTGTGTTCTCGCTTCTCTTGCCATAAACCATCTTTTGTTACATTGCTCTTGCATTGTTACTATCGAAGTAGGAGAGTAGCTTTTGTTGTAGATGGTCAGATGAATAAATAAGCAAGAATATTACTTATTTATATTGTTTTGACATAGATGTCAAAATAAGCACATTTTATGTTTTTCAAGAATTTTATTTAATAGTAATTACTTTCATAAAAAAATCAATATTATATCATAAATATTTTGGTTGTGAACACCAATTAATAATTAATTTATTAAACATAAATATTACCGTACCAAGTCTTCACCATTTTACAAAGTTATTAGTAGAAAATGCTAATTTTAAAATGGAACGTAATATACTTGTTATTCGACTTAGAATGTTTTTTTTTGTGCACAAAATCACACAATTCATTACCAAATCACTAGTTCAAACACATTACAACATACCTCAGCCCTAACCATACCTACATAACAACCATATTAAAATACCTTCATATAGCTTAGGTAACATTTAATATAAAAAAATTGCTTGGTGAATAGCCTATCCAGCTTCACTCCTCCTTTGGTGGATTCTCTCGTTCCTCCATCTCCACACCTGGTATACGCAGGTAGCCCAAGCTGCTATCCACTTTTTCCTGTGCTTCGCCCCTGCCATTCCTTGTATTGCTCTCCTAAATTCCTCATCAGAGCCTATGTTATACTGCAGGTCAAGAGCATTCATTACTGCTTCAAATAGGGGAATTGACACTGCACATTCCCAGAAGAGATGTTGTCGGGTTTCTATTTCCCTTCCACACAGCTCACGGTTGGTGTTAATGTTCATATATTTATCCATCATATCCTTTGTCTGCAGCCTCCCTCTCCAAAATAGCTAGATTATAAATCTGATCTTGGGTGGGGTAAATTTATTCCACACCCAGTCTCTCCATATAGGTTTCTCCCTAGCTTCTTGAAGCCAATCATATCCCTTGCTAATAGTGTATGGATATTGTCTTGGCATGTCTGCAAATTTTTCCTTCACCCTCATCATTTCCTTCCAGTAGTGGCAAGAATCCTGCTTAGGTTTATAAGTCCAGAAGTCACACTCTTTAATATATCTGGCGTGTATCCATCTAACCCAAAGGATGTCCTTCTTTCCAGCTATGTCCCAAACAACATTCATGATGGCTGCATAATTCCAGTTCATCACATTCCTTATACGTAGCCCACCAAACTTCTTTGGTTGGCAAACCTCATTCCAGTTGACCAGGGGGACCGACTTAGAATGTTACGGTTTTTACTATATACGAAATAACATTAAAGCTTTATTAAATAAACATGCGAATAAAAATATTTTTCCATTTATATATTTGTTTCTCTTTTTCAATATTTCAAAAATCTCTCCGATTAGTATTCATTCAGAGCAAAAACAAATATTCACATACAATTCCCTTTAGTCCCGCCAATCTATATGTCCTTTAAATAAATTTATATGTTTGAATATTGTTTTCGAATATGATCTTTTTTCAATTTCAAAAAATATTATTTAAGTTTAATATTTTCCAATGATGAAGTTTAAGATATAAAAGTTTCTAAAGGTGATTATGCTGAGGAATTTGTGATAAGAAATACGAAATTTAATTTCCACAAAAAATATTTTTTGTTAATTAATTCTTTATTTAAATATTATTTTGGAGTTTAAATTAACAATATGAGGATCTTGCGCATGAAGAAGGAATTTCGCCGGCGTCAAAAAAAAAACTAATGAAAAATTTATCTGAAATAATCTTATCTTTATTATGCGCTCTTCTAAAAATAATCTCACATTTCAATATTATGCACAATAATCCAATCTTTCACTTGTGTGTAGGTTTTGGATGGATGTTAGATAGCTAATGGCAGCCCAACTATTTTGTTTTAAACAAAGCTCATTTCGCACAACAAAATGATACAGTAGGGGAGTATTTTATTTTTTGGAAAACAATAAATGTTCATCAAATAATATTCCATCCGGCCCAATTTAAATTCTTTGTTGTTGTGTACGAGGTCTGATTAGAATTACTCCGTATTTTAAACTCAATTTATTTGGGAGTTGGTATATAATTAAAAAATAAAATTTATATATTTAAAAGTTATATAAAAAGTACTCCCTAAATTTATATATTTAAAATCTATAACAAAAAATAAAAAGACTATACTCCCTCCGTCCCTAAATCTATCTCACATTTGCTTTTTTTAGTAGTCGCGGGGAGTTTTATTTATTTTACGTTTTCATTCGTTGTCTAATAAAATAAAATATTCTTGATACCTCTTATTTCTAAAAAAATTTCATGTAGTTTTTGATATGTAAATTTTATTTTTTATTTCTATACCAATATGAAAATAGAGTAAATTTCCAAAATAGTCCTTTGTAATAAGAGATTTTCCCAAATTAGTTCTCAGTAAGTTTTAATTACCTACATGGTCCTCTATAATTGAGATTTATTTCCAAAATAGTCCTTTGTAATAAGGTATTTTTCCAAATCAGTCCTCAATAAGTTTTAATTACCTAAGTGGTCCTCTATAATTGAGATTTATCCCCAAGATGGTCCTTCATACATAATGTTACTCAAATGAGGATTAATTGAGGTTATTTTTTTCTGCTAAATTTAGAATTAATTCTTAAAATAATCATTTATAATGAAATGCTTTCCCAAAATGATTTTTCTAATTAAAGATGTGTATTTGATTTGAAATTTAAAAGATTTTTTTAAGTTTTAAATAATTCATAAATTATTTATACTCAATGTATTTTTTAAATTTTACATTGAGTTGTACAGAAATGATTGTTTCAAAAATATACTTTAAATTTGGATTATCAAAATACCAAAATATCTCCCAATTAATCCTCATTTGAGGATTGTTTTGGGAAAACACCTTATTATAAAGGACCATTTTGAGAATTTACTCATAAATAATTTATGAATTATTTAAAACTTAAAAAATCTTTTAAATTTCAAATCAAATACACATCTTTAATTAGAAAAACCATTTTGAGAAAGCACTTCATTATAAATGCTTATTTTAAAAATTAATTCTAAATTTAGCAGAGAAAAAATAACCTTAATTAATCCTCATTTGAGGAACATTATTTATGAAGGACCATCTTGGGGATAAATCTCAATTATAGAGGATCACCTAGGTAATTAAAACTTATTGAAGACTGATTTGGGAAAATATCTTATTACAAAGGACTATTTTGGGAATAAATCTCAATTATAGAGGACCATGTAGGTAATTAAAACTTATTGAGGATTAATTTGGGAAAATCTCTTATTACAAAGGACTATTTTGGGAATTTACTCATGAAAATAAAATGAATTGAAAAAACTTGATATTTAACCTCATTAACAGAAATGTGAGATATATTTAGAAACGAAAAGAGTTATTATTTCATCAAATAAGTAACAAAAATGTGTAAAAAAGATTAAAATTCACGGATGAATGATATACTCGAAAAGTACTAAGAATGGAAAAATGTCTAAAAAGAAGAAGTGGCAACGTAAAAAAAGTCAAAAGATGCACAGCATTCAAAAATTAAATTGACGTAAGACACGGACGAGAAATTTTCGGACATGTGGTCAGTCACACTAGTCAAGTGCGTTTGGAGGCCTCTCTTCCGGTTATGCCTTTTAAAAATAAAGTTACTTCTTGTTTACGGAGTAATATTTGAGTTTTCAATACTTCTCTAGATTTTTATTACTCCTTAATAATTTGAAAAAAATAAATTACTTTTACTCATATCTTAAATTTTATAATTTCAAAAGTTTTAATATCTTTTCGAGATATGCAATTTGTATTATTTATTTATATGCTACTCTGTAATTTGTTAAAAATTAATTTTAAAAGAGACAAAATTTTGTACATTTTTCAAAATGATATGTTCTATTGTGGATGGAAGGACTAAAAAAATAGTCGAATCACACTTTTTACAATAAGGATAAAAGTGATATTTATAAAGTCCTAAAGTTTATATTTAAAATATGAATTTTGACAAATGACTCACTTCTTATACTCTTTCCGTCCCACTATATTTGTCCACTTTCATTTTGCACACCATCCAATGTACTTCTTTAATCCATTTTATCTTGTAATTTATATATTAAAAAATTATAGAAATTATATATTAATAATCTATATGTTAAGACAAATCAAACAATATCACACATGACTATATTTAGGCTTACACATTGAGAGAATTTGATGAGTCAAAGTGCTTAGATGAACAGTTCCAAAAGTCAAAAGTGGACAAATATAGCGGGACGGAGGTAGTATACTACAAGAGAAATTTACCTAAATAGGACTAAAACATAATGACTTTCCCAATATAGGACCATATGTTTTTATTTCCTAATGTATGACCTTTGGTCATTATCAAGTAGTCATTATTCAACTAAATGTCCATCATTACTGGACACTATTCCTCATACTAGGTCATTATTAAGTCCTATTTAGGGAATAAAAAGGTTTAAGTCCTACATTAGGAAAGTCATTATGTTTTAGTCCTATTTAGTGCAAATCCACATACTACAAATACATCAACGTCTATGGAAGAATTTCCCTAAGGATAAAGTTACATTTTCTAATGGTTACTTCCAAGATGTTAGCTAATCTTTTGGTAAAACTAAATACCATATTTGTTAAAAGTTTTACTAATTAGAAATCTCTATTTGTTTTCGTGGTGGCCGCCCACTACATTTGTCCACCGTGCCGGGTTCTATTTTTTTTGCTTTGCTCCACTTCTTCTTGCTTCCTTGGTACCGATCTATTTTTTTTCTATCTAATTTTTTTCAATTTTAAACCCTTTTTCTTAATGTATTTAATTTCGAATTTTTTTTATTTTAAATTTATTTTCTAATTTCAATAATTAATATTTAATTAATGTTAATATTTTTATATATTTTTTTTTAATTTTGAATTTATTACTTTTATTTTATTTATTATTATTTATCTATTTTTATAAATAAATAAATATTTGTATTAAACTTATATTAGTTTTGAATGAAAAATGATGAATATTATAAAAGAAATGGAGGAACAAATTTTTGGGACGATATCATTAAAAGATTTGGAATGCTAATGTAGCAGCTAGCAGGAGTTGGGGAGGGGCAGATTTGCTCCTGTTGTAAATGAAGAAATCACTCTAAATAAGACTAAAATATATAAAAAATATCAATATAAGAGTTCCATGTTTTTATTCCTTAAATAAGAGTTTGTTATGTGGCAATGTGATACTATAAATGTACATTTTACGTAATGTACATACTATGATTGATAATGTAAATATATTTTGACTCCTATTGCATGAGAATAAAAACATAAAACTTCTATTTTAATATATTTTCAATATTTCATTTCTACCGTTATAGACGAGTCTTTTTACATTCTAGATGCTGTTAGGAACAGTCTTACGCGAGGGAGTTGTAAATGTTAAGAGCAATGCTAGAGGTACACTTTAGTGTACCCCATTTGTCCCCCACATCCTTCTCCACCACTCATTATTATCTACTTTTTATTTATTTAATTTTTTTAAAAATTCTTATCCATTTATGTAGTAATGGAGAAGGTGATGGACAAATGGGGTACATCGCCTAGCATTTTTCAAATGTTAACGTAGACAGAGAATATAAAAAGTCGGATGAAATTCAAAAATGAAAAGTCAGGGAGGAGTGATTTTCGGGTAATAAACGGCTGAACAGACGAAGGTCGGCACCACAGTAAAAAAAAAAAAAGTACTATTGATGGTCAAGAAAGTCTCTGCTCCGCAATGATTCCATCCAACGGCCCAAAATGAAAGATAGCAAATTTATAAAGAGCAGAGCAGGGTTGCGGTGGCTGCCGGCGTCAGAATCCATGGCTTACACCGCCATCCTTCTCTCTCTAATCTCCGCAATCTTCACTCTCTGTGTCATTTGGTCCAGACAAACACTCCCCGTCACCAAGAAGAGCATTCACGAAGAAGTGGAGCCCCACCAATACACCGCCCCGGAAAGGCCGCCGCCGGTCGTGGAGTGGGACAAGAAGAGGGCGGAGTGGCTGAATCGCCACCCTTCATTCGCCGCGCCCGGGGCAAGGAACCGTGTCCTCGTCCTCACCGGATCGCAGCCCGACCCCTGCAAGGGCCCCGCCGGCGACCACCTGCTCCTCCGGCTCTTCAAGAATAAGGTGGACTACTGCAGAATCCACGGCTACGACGTGTTCTACGGCAACGCGTTCATGAATCCGAAGATGGGCTCCGTTTGGGCCAAGGTGCCCTTGCTCCGGGCCGCGATGCTGGCCCATCCCGAGACCGAGTGGGTCCTGTGGATGGACTCAGACGCCGTTTTCACGGACATGGATTTCAAGATTCCGCTGGATAAGTACAGAGACCACAACCTCGTGGTCCACGGCTGGCCCTACATGGTTAAGCACCGGAGCTGGCTGGGAGTGAACACCGGGATTGTGTTGATGCGGAATTGCCAATGGTCCCTGGACTTTGTGGATCTGTGGGCCAGTATGGGCCCACAATCTCCGGCCCACGAGGCGCTGCTCCGGAGAGTCATGTCGAGGCTGAAGAACGTGGTGAACCGGAGGAAGCTGGACGAGCAGTCGGCGCTACTGTACCTGCTGCTGACGTTGGATGCGAAATGGACGGCCAAGATCTACCTGGAGAACGAGTACTACCTGCACGGCTACTGGGGAGAGGTGCTGGGGATGCTCGTCGAGGGAAGCGGCGGCAGGACGCCGTTCGTGACCCACTTCACCGGATGTCAGCCGTGCAGCGGGGAGCACAACCCGAAGTACGAAGGGGATTCTTGCTGGGTTGGGATGGAGAGAGCGCTGAATTTCGCGGACAATCAGGTGCTTCGGAATTTCGGGTTTGTGCATAAGGACCTCAAAACTCTGTCTCCTCTCTTGAGCTTTCCCATTGATTATCCTGCAAACAAGACTCCCATCCTTTAATCTCTTTAATTTGTGCCAGCCAATTTTACCCTCCCACTCTTCAAATTGCTGAATTGATCTCTCCAATAGTTGTTCTGGTTGTAATATTGTATTAATGGTTAATAGAACCATATTTGGGCAAACTTAGGCCTTGTTTGGATCAGAGATTAGTTGTTCTTTTAATTAACAGTGTGCAAATATAATTTCATCAAAGAAAATGGAGTACAAAAGAATGCCATAGACATGAGAGAACACCCCTACAAACTACTATACATACATCAAACAAAAAGCAAAACTTAAGTTAACCCAGGAGTTTTAGCATTCATATAGGCGTTGGTTCCTACACGTAAGCCAAAAAACAAATTTATGTTTAGGGATGGACAGCTTGTTCGAGACCAAATCCGACCAGTTAACTTTCTCCCTATGCCCCAATAGCCATTGATATCCAATCTTTAGATTATAGAGAACAGATTTATCCATATCTACACAGTAGTTTCTAGTTTGTAGAATCTTTTTCCAATAGAAACATGCATCGCTTTTATTTTGGTAATCCCAGATGGTACTGTTTGAAAGAATTGTTTGGGAGGAAATTTTCTGTATTTCTCTCTTGTGTTTACAATTTACAATGAAGACATGTTGCCCAGTCCGAATCACACCATCCTGTGAGTTGAAGGCTACTCTCTGCTGACAGAAAAATGCCCTGGACATCCTTTCAAATAACGAACGACTCTAAGGGCCGCAGACCACTGATCCTCCATTGGTTCCTTCAAAAACTGTGCTAAAGTGTGGACGGCGTAAGAAAGTTCCGGTCGTGTAACGGAGAGATAGACCAACCTTCCTACCAACCTTCGATATGGTTCTGGATCTGCAAGAACCGGGGCTTGGGAACGAGCCAAGTGATGATTTGGCTCCATCGGGGCACCCAACGGCCTGGCACCTAACAACCCCGCCTCAGTGATGATATCTAAGGCGTACTTTCGTTGGCAGAGAAAAATCCAGACGTGCTCCTCGCTACCTCAATGCCAAGAAAATATTTTAGTGTTCCCAAGTCCTTCATATGAAAACAATCTCCGAGATAGGCTTTGAACTTGCTCACCATCTCTGTATTATCTCCAGCAATAATCAAATCGTCAACATAAACCAAAACATGTATTACTCCTTTCTTTCCAACAAAAGAAAATAAAGAGTAATCAGAGACAGATTGCACAAATCCATATCGTCTCAATGCGCTAGACAATTTTGCAAACCAACATCTTGGAGCCTGTTTCAATCCATACAGAGACTTCCTGAGTTTGCACACCATATTAGACGAACTCAAGAAACCGGGCGGCAACCTCATATATACCTCATCCTGAAGATCTCCATGCAGGAATGCATTGTGAACATCCATCTGATGCAATTCCCATCCCTTAACTGCTGCGACTGCTAAAAGGGTTCGCACAGTGGTCAACTTGACTACAGGAGCAAAGGTTTCTTTGTAGTCAATACCTTCAACTTGGTGATTACCAAGTATAACAAGCCGAGCCTTGTATCTTTCCACTTTGCCATCAGACTTGCGCTTGATTTTATACACCCACTTGCATCCAAGAGCCTTCTTATGACGTGGGGGATGAACAAGGGACCACGTGCCATTAGCTTCCAACGCATCAATTTCTTCTCGCATGGCCTTCCTCCATCGCTCATCCTAGAATGCCTATTTGAAGTTTCTAGGCTCTATTTCTTCATCAAGCGCTGTGAGGAAACACTTATGTTTGTGAGAAAACTTCTCATAAGTGACATATGAAGAGAGTGGATATCTGCACTTTTCTCCGATATGTGGACCAGCAACATGCGTAACATAATCCGCAAGCCTCACATTTGGTCGCCTTTCCCGTTGACCACGTCCCAAGGTCTCTGCTGCTTTCTGGGGAGAGGACGGTCGACCGCCATCCGTGGAACGGTCCTTGGGGTCGACCGTCTGAAAGGATTCCTGAGCGTCTTCTTTCTGCCTCAGAGACGGTCGACCGTTCTCCTCTTCACGGTCGACCGTTTCATCATCCCTCTGGAGCCTATCTTTCTGCCCTTCAGACGGTCGACCGTGGTCATCAAAACGGTCCACCACGTCGACCGTTGGTTGCACTCCCAAAGGTCCGTCTTTCTGCCTCTCGGACGGTCGACCGTGGACATCAGGACGGTCCACCAGGTCGACCGCCTGTAGCTCGCCTGCCTCACTGGTCTCCTCCGGTCGACCGTTCCTCGTGGAACGGTCCAGCTGCTCTTCCACTGGCATCTCTTCATCATCTTCGAAGTGATCGATCGAAGGGGAACTATTCGATCCACTCTCATCTGGGATTTCACCTGCGGAAATCAAGTAAGGAAAAATGTTTTCACAAAACACAACATCCCGTGACACACTGATCTTCCCAGTGTCTGGGAAATACACCCGCCAACACTTCTTTCCTTGTGGGTATCCCAAAAATATTCTAGGAATACTTCTGGGTGCAAATTTATCTCCATCTCTTTTCAAATTGTGTACATAACATCTGCAACCGAAAACACGTATGTGAGTCCTCGTAGGGACTGTTCCATAAAGCTTCTCATACGGTGTAACCCCCCCTAGCAAAGAAGAGGGTGTTCTATTGATCAAATACGCCGCAGTTTGTATACAATCTCCCCAAAATTCAATAGGAAGCCCTGCCTGAAATCTTAGAGCTCGACCCACGTTCAGAATATGACGATGTTTACGTTCTACTCTTCCATTCTGCTGTGGTGTAGACACACAAGATGTCTCATGAATAATTCCTTGTTCTAGAAAATATTCATTCAAGCATTTGAATTCTGTGTCATTGTCACTACGAACACATTTTATTTTCTTCCCAAACTGACGCTCAACCATGGCACAAAATTGTTTAAAAACGCTTCCTACTGTCCGCTTAGAATCAAGCAAATGTACCCACACGCCGCGAGAAAAGTCATCCACAATAGTAAAAAACATGGTAGAACCATTCAAACTTGGCACCCGATAAGGACCCCATAAATCACAATGCACCATATCAAATACATCCAAAGATTGATGGAAACTGATGGGAAAACTAGCACGAGTTTGTTTAACACGTAAACAAACATCACAATGACTATGGCTACTTTTATTCGGACCAACTCCGAGAACTAAGGACAAAACATGCGAAGAGGGATGTCCTAGACGCTTGTGCCAAAGATCAAAGGAATTCACCTTCTTAGCACTGCTCGCCATGCTTCTTTCATCCTTCTTTAAATAGTACAATCCTCCTTCATGTCTCCCTACACCAATCGTTGTCCTCAAATTTTTGTCCTGTAATATGCACACATCATTGGTGAACTTTGCCTCACAGTTCAAATCCCTCGTCAGCTGTGAGACAGAGATCAAATGGCACTTCAAATTTGGAACAAACAACTTACTCTGTAAAGTCAAAGTCCTTGTCAAATCAACTTTTCCAGATTGAACAGACACTACCCGTTTTCCATCGGGTAACCCAATTTCACATGGAGTCACACCCACCACATCATACAATAACGAAAAATCACGTGTCATATGATTTGATGCTCCCGTATCAATAATCCAACGTGGTGACACCGAAATACCTGTAAGTTTTGATTGATGTCTGTAGGGGATAGTGCAAGGGCGTGACGAACAGCGTTCCACTGTTCCATAGTCAGATCCTCGAAATTGGGCAACGGCGAATATCCATTTTTCTCTTCTTCCTCATTCTTGTTGAGAGTAATCTTCATGGATGCCTCTTCAGACATACCAGATGACACGGGCTAATAATGGATCGAACAACTACAGCAACTGAAGAATCTGCCGTCGGGACGGTCGACTCCTTCGACCGTTCCTCTCCAACGGTCGACCGTTCCGGTCTTTCGGCAACACCACTAAGTGACGACCGCTGGACGCGATGCCGGGCGATCGTGCACAGTAGCCGCGGAAATCCTCTAGGGTTTTGGCTCCGATACCATGAAAGAATTGTTTGGGAGGAAATTTTCTGTATTTCTCTCTTGTGTTTACAATTTACAATGAGGACCTATATATATGATCTCACGAATTGAGACTCCTAATAAGTAAAGGAAAAGGAAAAGGAAAGAATCCCTATACAAGGAAAACTACCAAAACAATATATACACAAATATCTCCAAATATTCTACCAAATATTCTCTTTTCTTTAACACTGTTCTTTATATATCTGTTATGGATCCATTTGATCCATAATACGTAGTATCTCTTTTTCCAAAGCAATGTCCCCCACCAACTTCATAATAATAGCCTTATTCTAGAGGATAAGATTTTTAAGGCCTAGACCCCCATATTTCCTAGGCAAGCAAATGTCATCCCAAACAATTAAAGAAATTCTATTGTGATCTTGAGAAGATCCCCATAGAAAATATCTACAGAGTGATTGTATCTTCATGAGCATAGCAGGAATAATAAAGAGAATAATAAAGAGTCTGCTCCAGGCAGTGATTTTGATAGTCATCTTCTCAATAAGTTTCTCACAATCTTTACAATTAATTCTAGAAGAGGTAATGAGGCCCCCAAGATATCTAAAAGGGAGAGAACCTTTCCTCATGTTGGTTAAATGCAAAACCTTGTCCTCCTGGTGCTTGTTAACCCGTCCAAAAATAACTTAAGCCTTTTCCTTCTTTGAAAAAATCAAAATTCTCACCTCCAAGCTGGATGGAATAGGTAGTAGAGGTTAGTTGATCCAATTAGAGGGAAACTTGAATAACGTCAGGAGTTGGTCAATGGCCTTCCAACTTACATTGTCATATGCTTTTTGAAGATCCAACTTTAGCAAGCATCTAGGGAGAAATATCATTTTTGTTATATCCCTTGCTAATTACTGACGAAGCAAAATATTATGGACCAACTCTCTCCCTTGTATGAAGGCTCCTTGATTTAGATTTACAATATTTGGCAGGATATTCTTATAGATGACATTATAGCATGCCATTGGAGGCCCGGAGGGTGTGCAAAGTGGCCAACCGCACAGGGCACCTTAAAATTTAGGGCACCATATTTTTAAATTTGTTAATAATTTTAAAGCAAAAGTATTCTAAAAATATAAAATAGGGCACAAAATGTAAATTTTGGACCGAACCAATTTTATTTTTTTATTTTTCGGGAACGGCCCTGTAGCATGCAATAAGCCTATGATCACTAAGACTCCTTGGGTCTTCATTTTTGGGGATGACAACAATATTAGTGGAATTGATCTGCTTAAGAGTGTTTCCTTTGTGAAAGAAATCTTGAATGGCTCGAGTAATTAGACCACCTACTTTCTTCCATTGATTTTTGAAGAAATCACTACTGTAACCATCTCGACCAGGGCTTTTGCTATTAGGAATTTCAAACAGAAAATTCTTATTCTCTTCTGGAGTGTTTGGTGAAATTAATGATAATTGCTTGTCAATGGTTAAGGTTTTGCCCATACAAGTAATATCAGCATTATCAGTGGTATAAAAACTTGAATTACTCCCTCCATCCCATAGTATTTGTCCACTTTCATTTTTACACACCATCCAATACATTTCTTTAATCAATTTTATCTTGTAATTTGTATATTAAAAAATTATAGAAATTATATATTAATAATCTATATGTTAAGACAAATCAAACAAGATCACACATGATTATATTTAGGCTTACACATTGAGAGAATTTGATGAGTCAAAGTGCTTAGATGAACAGTTTCAAAAGTCAAAAGTGGACGAATATAGCGGGACGGAGGGAGTATATATCAAAACTATATCATAATATTAACCCAAATATATTAAATATATATTATAATTAAATATATTTTTCTCACAATTTATAATTAAAGAGTGTTACTGTTTGACTAAAAAATCAAAATAGGAAAGATTTTTAAGATCGGAGGAGGCAAGAAACTACAGAGCAATTGAAGATAAAAGAGTGAAGAAAAATAAATCTGAAATAAAATTGGAAATTTTAGAGAATTTTGAAACCTAAATTTCTCCCAAACAAAAGAGGAAAAAAAATCTAAAACACATACCTATAATTTAGAATTAAAGAATTGGAAAAAATTGAAATAAATAACAAGGAGTATTCACCAAGATTGAAGAGTGGAAGAGGAGAGAGATGAAACGGAAGAGGCAAAACTGATATATTGATTAGGTTGATATCGATTGGAAAAGGCATAACTTATCTATGGGTGTGTTCCCAAATGATTTATACAATCACAAAGATGATTATGATTGGTGTATATATAAATATATGTGATTGTCATCTATCTGCGGTGACTTGTGGTGAGTTCCTAATCTAACAAATAGCCAAGGAAAACACGAGAAATAAAACGTATTATGCCCCAAGAATTTGTATCCTATTTTGTACATTGCAGGGATGCACTAACGTTTTTATGTTGGTGTAATTCTAATTTTTATTAACGCAACAACACTTTGTGTCAATGTAAATTTTTGTTAACGCATCAACACTTGGTGTCAGTGTGATTTATTAAAATGTTGGTGCATATTTTTAGGTACAAATTTAACGTACATGTAACATGCTCCATAAACATTGTCTTGGAAGTGAGTTGGAACTGATATTGAATTAATACGTATTGGGCTGACATTACAAAAAAAAATCTATGTACGGGCCAAAGTAAATAATTTAGGTTTAGACTTTAGAGTGTATTCGTGCCCGGTGCCCTTAGTTTCTAAAACACATTGCAGCCCATACGCTGATACGCCTAGCTAATCATAGAAAATTGTTTTACGACATTGAAAAAAATGAAAATATGTAATCTTTGTCCATTCTATAATGGATGTTACTCTCTCAATAGTGTATAAAGTCTCATTATATAAAAATTGGAATAGAAATATAAGTACCACGTACAAATTACACCATCCCAAAACATATAAAAAATTTTGCAAAATGTCAAAAATATTTTATTTTATCAAATGAAAACATATAAAAAAAATAAAAATTATTGAGAGGTTTCAATAATAACGGTGACATCTATTATGTGATGGAGGGAGTATCTTATATCTATTAGGGAACAAATGAAGTACGCACCTAGTAAATTCTTGCCTAATGAAGGGGTATGATGCGCCCCTAATAAATTCTTGCCATGTGGACTTTTTAATCATGCTAATAAATAAAATACTCCACATCATTTTAACTGATACGAATAACGTATCGGATAGGGAAGAACTTCGAGCGTTCTTCAAGCTCCAAGAAGATGAGGTAGAGGAAGATGGAAAACTTCGAGCGTTTTCGAGCTCCAGAAGAATAGGAAAAGGGATTGGGATTTGATTATTCTTTATTGCTTGATTAATAATGAGATGGGAGTACAATATATAGAGATATGAAAACCCTAGTTAACCTAATGGGCTCGGGCCCATACTAAAATCCTAAACATGATTAACTATTGAATATTAAATGACTACTAATTAATAAATAATATAACTAATCTACTATCCGTATCATTCCCACCCCCTTAAAATTCCACCTTGTCCTCAAGGTGGAGGCTCCCACTCGTGTTTTAAGACCGGAGAAAGAGTGTTGAACCAAAGGAGTAGTCCACTCTTTGAATCTTCAATCATCTTGGATCTTAAAGCAAACCGATGGACATGTGAGATAGAGCCAATACCCAGTGTAGGTTCTCTCGGTGAAACTTGGTGCTTTGACTTGACCGCATCAACATTGTCAAACAACTTAATGGTGTCAAATGAAAAGGGGTTATCTGCCTGCTTATTATCTGCATTTGCCACCTTGTTGGCACCTTCTAGAAGGGCAAGCTCTGCAACGACTACATTAGTTGAGGCATTGACCAGATCGGTGTCCACATTAACAATATCTTTTGAAATATTACCTTCATTAATTTCAACGGCGTTGGACCTCTCGTCATCTTCATTCATGAGTTTAGGCCTACTGTCCATAGCATCCCCAACATGTGATTCAGCGCTTGAATCATCCTTTAATTCTTTTTCATGAGACTTAGTGTTTTGTACGGTGACCACAAGAGCTAAATTTGGTGGAGAGAGTGGCGCACTAGTGAGGTTCTGGATGACCTTCATCATGTTTGTTTTGAAATTTTGTAACTCCAACGGAATCAAACTCGGCAAAATTGGAGGATCACGAACTAAATCCTGTACCGAACAAAAAATTTCGATGTCGAGCGCATCATAATCAATTTGCCCTTTAAAATTATGGATCGACCTGAGCTTCATAC